TTGCGAATTTCATGGCCTCTGGTTTAAAACATGAACCAAATTTAATTGTTTGAAAGTTGTTGCACAATGCCCGTGGGCCTCTTGTTTATTTAGGTTTGAAATAATACTGCATATTATTCTTCATTTTATATTTGTACCTTTAATTCTGAGCATTGCCATTTTTGAAATCGCACAGCAATCATAAGCAATACGAGCCTGGAACTGAATTTCTATGAATTCAGTCTTGTTAATCATGTATATAATGACACCCTAGAATAACAAAATCTGGATTTACTTTATGAAATGGATGGTTTTAGAAAAAAGCATATCAATAGAATTGAATTAAAGATGCCATTTACATGAATTTACTAAGAATTTCGAACAAACTTTTTTCGTCTTTTTTAGCTCTACTGGTCAGAGACCAGAAGAGCTTATGCGATAGTAATGCGTCCGGCGTCCGTCCGTCTGTAAACAATTTTTCAAAACGCTACTCCTCCTACAATTTTAGTTTGATTTCAGTATAACTTGGCACACAAGTAGACTACACTAAGATACATAGAATAGTGCATCGGTTTTTGATTTCGATGAACGGTGTTGCCATCGTTACTAAAAATAGAATTTTCTGTGAAATTCCTTTAAAACGCTACTCCTTCTACAGTTTTGGTCTGATTTCAGTATAACTTGGCACACAAGTAGACTACACTATGATACATAGAATAGTGCATCGGTTTTTGATTTCAATGAACGGTGTTGCCATGGTTACTAAAAATAGAATTTTCTGTGAAATTCCTTAAAAACGCTACTCCTTCTACAGTTTTGGTCTGATTTCAATATAACTTGGCACACAAGTAAACTACACTAAGATACATAGAATAGTGCATGGGTTTTTGATTTCGATGAACGGTGTTGCCATGGTTACTAAAAATAGAATTTTCTGTGATATTCCTTTAAAACGCTACTCCTTCTACAGTTTTGGTCTGATTTCAGTATAACTTGGCACACAAGTAAACTACACTAAGATACATAGAATAGTGCATCGGTTTTTGGATTTCGATGAACGGTGTTGCCATGGTTACTAAAAATAGAATTTTCTGTAAAATTCCTTAAAAACGCTACTCCTTCTACAGTTTTGGTCTGATTTCAATATAACTTGGTACACAAGTAGACTACACTTAGATACATAGTATAGTCCATCGGTTTTTGATTTCGATGAACGGTGTTGCCATGGTTACTAAAAATAGAATTTTCTGTGAAATTCCTTTAAAACGCTACTTCTTCTACAGTTTTGGTCTGATTTCAATATAACTTGGCACACAAGTAGACTACACTAAGATACATAGAATAGTGCATCGGTTTTTGATTTCGATGAACAGTATTGCTATGGTTACTCAAAATAGAATTTTCTGTGGAATTCTTTAAAAACGCTACTCCTTCTACAGTTTTTGTCTGATTTCTAAATAAGTTGGCACACAAGTAGACTACACAAAGATACATAAAATAATGCAATGGTTTTTGATAAGTACAAACCAGTAGAGCTACAGTCTCGACAGAGACTTCTGGTTTTCTCATTAATTTAAAAAAAAATATCTAGTAGACAAATCAATAAAAAATATATCGTATAATTTTTATGAATCATGCAGTTTAATGTATAGATTTTGGTTTGGGGAGGGGTGGATAAAAATTAATAACATGTAATTGTTCATGCCTAAATATACAGTCAGTTAAATATGACTGTTTTGTATAATATATTTCCTGACAATTGTCTGTGAACTGGTTGAGTTTTGAAATGTCAGATTATTGTAGGGATGAATTCCATTCTGGTCCTGTGCAAGAAGCTTGGATATGCTAAACCTTGTAAAGTCTTGCATGTTACGGAAGTATAAAAGGACACTCCAACCCCATCCCTTGCACTGCTGCCAAAATAAAACAAAATTCAAGCATATTGTTGCAGTTTAATGTCGTGTATTTTCAGCATTGAATTTTATTTTGTCAGCATCTACATGTAGAAATAAAACCCGACCCTGAACTTATAAGGATTTTTTTTATCAATGAAAACAAATAGAATCATATTATATGCATATATAATTATATTTATCCATTATTTGTCGGCATAATTTTTTTTTGTTTTGTTACTTCATAATATGAATGTATTTCCGCCATTTCACGTGTACATGTATCTTGTATATTCATTCAAGTCATCTGATAAATCAAAACCTGATAAAGCAAAACCTGAAAGTAATCAGAAATGACACTTTTAAGAAGTATAAAACAAATGACATAAAGTATGTAAGCTGATAATGCCTTATGTCAAACAAGTTTTGTGTGTATGCTTGAATTTGTACTTACTTTGATTAGGACTGTTCTCTGGAGATGATGCTGAGGTTTCATCTTCACTTTCAATTTGTGATGACATACTGCTAGCACTTTCATCTTCTTCTTCACTTTCCCAAAGATCCTCTAGGTCTATTAAACTGTGCATACTCTCATCAACTGCGGCTTCTTATAGAAAAAAATATATAGAGGAAAATAAAACATGACAAGTATGTATGAGAGCACATTAAATATTGACATGCAGACTATGTGTATCTGGCAAAATACTGAAAGAAAGATGAATACAGACATTACATTCAAGAGCATATCACCAAAGAATACACATAAATACCAAGCTCAATTCAACTTCTGACCAAAACATACCTGGTTCTACAATTTCAGACACTCTGTCCCTCCAGATTTTTACTTTGGAATCATAATCTGTCCTCAAATTGTCAATAAGAGACTTTGTGGCATCAATTCCCTGGCACCATCCAAGATTGTTGAAACTGGTGAACACCTATCAAAATAAATGGTTATGTATTTAACTACATTGTAGAATTAGAAGTACAGTACATGAATTTATTGTGCAGCATAAAAATTTTAAAATGCAATTGAGTATGTTTGTACAATTAATTTACCTTTCTTTTACACCCTCCTAGCCACATCATTATGGATACCATCTGTTGCAAAATACTGCATTTTTTTGATCTTCCATATCCAATGATGCAGAGGACAGAGCCAATTATTGGCATTAGAGATACAATTTTTTTCCCTTTTCTTTTAGTTGCTGATTTCTGGTACTGCTTTTTAGTAAGAGCTGACGTAAGAAAGCTCAAAAGCACAGGACAAAGTCTTTTTGCAGTTGTCATTATTCTGTACCAATTAAACTGCAATATTGATGAGAGGTTTCTCCTATTCTCCTGTCCCATGAATTTTGTAAATGCAGTTATTTCTCTGCGAATGATATCGCACATAACATGAGCAGATGATGACTTGGCTGCTTTACTTGCAGTAAACAGTTTCCTAAAACCACTTTGATATCTTGAATGGCCAACAAGCTGAACAGCTTTTCCAACTTTGGTATTGTTGACTTGAAGTGTAATCTAAAATTACATTAAATAGAAATGTATATTTTAGCATATACACAAATTTCAATCAATATTCATAGATTTTATTTAATAAAAAATTAATTTGTAATTGATAGCAAGTATTAATAATCACAATTTAGATGTCATATAGTTTTAAAAGGTTTTGTACCTTATCCGTTGTCAAAGATGCCTTTGGACTGCTTTTGCGGGGAGAAAAAAAAATACTTTCAGCTTCTTAGGGGTTCTTCGATGAGAAGGAGAGGCATTTACTTTACTAGAAACATAGCTCCCTGGTTTTCGTATTTTGCAAAATTTCTCCTGCATTTCCTCTAATTGTGATTTCTTTATCTCTAAAGACTTAATTATTAGACTACAGTCATTACAAATAAATTTTTCTTTGTCTGGGGTAAATTGTTTGGAAATGTAATTTTTTTCCAACCTTCTGCTGCAATTAAGCCCCCCCCCCCTTTAAAGTTTGTAAAAAAAAAAAAAAAAAAAAAAAAAAAAAAAAAAAACCTGTTCTTTTAAACTTTTTCTCTGAAATGGTTCTTTACAGCAAACACAATTCATAATTAGGGATCAATGTACAGCCATCTTTATTTTTTTTTCTCCTGCACATTGACATCGAGCAAAAAACCCCCCAAAAAAACAAGGGTAAAACAGTATACCCCCCTCTCCTTCGGAGCGGGGGTATAATTAATTAAAAAATTGAAAGGAAACAATAATTTTCCCTCTCTTTGTGTGAAGATGATTTAAATTAAAAAAATGAATAAAAGTAGTATCGTGAATGACAAATAATAAAGGATTAATACTTTATTACTTTAATTACAACATTTACAACTACCAAAAATGGTCCTGATATCGAATTTTGCACAGAAAGGGTCGCATCAGCAATTTCAGCTGAGCAGTCTATCATCGTGTTTACACCACGTGGTCGGTTGACCCCGTCAGGAATTTTGTGTATTTGTGTGCTGACGTCATGCGCAAAGAAGTCGAATGGCGAAGAGGCGACCTAATTCAAAGTGATGCTTCATTTGTTGTTGATAGGGCCGTTTAAACGGCGAAAGCATCCTTTTAATGACAATTAACAAGTAGGAGAATAATTATTTTACTGATTTCTCACGTCTCGGGAGTTAGCTCCGTTAAATAAAGTTGTAAAAGGTAGGCAGAGTTGCAACACCAGTTGGTGTCGCTGAATTCCCACTTTTCAATATGGCCTCTGCTCTGACTCTCCCTCGCACGTCATAATATAAAAGCGCGAGTTAGAGTCAGAGGAATCTCGGATTAATGGCAGAAGTCAAGATTTTCCCTTTCCCAACTCAGAAAAAGGACCCAAAATGTAGGCGAGCGTGGCTGAGTTTGCTGCGGCGGAAAGATTACGACCCACCTATGCACCACAGGGAAAAGTGGAATAATTCTTGAAGTCTATATTTTGGACTTTTTTCAAAGTATTCGTGTCTCAGTACAAAGAGGTTTTTTTTTCAATGTTTAGGCCATTTTTATTTTATTAGTTGTTTTACGGATTTTTTTTTTTTGGAAAATGTCCATTGGGTGGCTACAAAAAAAAAAAAAAAAAAAAAAAGAAGAAGAAGTGTTCAATGTTCAAAACTTTAATATGCAGCATATCAAAGCAGTTGGGGAAATCAACCTCAGAACATTGCACAGAAATGTCTTTCTTGGCATTCCTCACTAAAAGAGAATGATTCTCCGAGCAGAGAGACATATTATGTGAACAATGCTAAACTTTCTGTGTATGTCTATGACTGGATACGGGTGTCCTCTCACTGCTACGTCCACATTGCCACAGAAAAACACACTTCAGCAAATTTTACACAACCCCCTGTAAAATAATAAAAGTTTAATCAAATTCAGATAATACCTTTTCTTAAACAGTACTAAACAGTATAAAACTAAAATTCAGTGCACAATTAATGGACACAAATAAACTTACCAGAATGATAAGTCATCCCCATAGGGTTTCACATTCCTATGACTCTCATACAAACATTTTTTGTCTTAGAACATCCTGATGAGTCTTTTCCTTTTCCAAATCTAAAATTTAAACTTTAAGAAACATTTCTTTCACATCATTTGATAGATTCATACCTGCACAATGATAAAAAAAATCTTTTATTTCTCTGACGTTTTAACAATTGACAACACGTCTTGTAGATTTTTAAAATACAGTCAAACATGTTCTTTTAAAAATGTCATAAATAATATATGAACTGTTAACTAACCATTAGATATAACTGTTTAAAAATTCTCCAAACCCTCAAAGAAAAATTATGGGTGTCGGATGGAGCGCAAGTGATGACATCAGATTCGTTGGTTTTGGCTGTAATTTCCTCAACCACCACACTCCATTCGCTGATCAGATAACATCATTATAGAATAATCACCAGCCTGATCAGCTCATAAAAACCGTCGTACATTTACTACTGTCCTTAAAACATTTATATTCTGTTTTGAAAAACCTAAAATGTTTCACATGGCCGTCATACTTATTTCATCTCTGACTACAAAACGCTTGCAGAGTTTTTTTTTTTAAAGGGTCAATAGTGGAAGCGTTTACATGATTCTGATCACAACTAAGTAAAATTCAAACAATGTACGGTCATTTCCGGATTTTTTTAATATGATTGAAGTAAAGTTCGATCGGCGATTATAAAAAAAGGATTGAATGGAATTTTTATTTTTTTTCCAAAACTTAGAAAAATGGGGTCGGCGGATCCGTAAAACAACCAATAAAAAAATTTTGGCCTTAGGTATGTTTCCGACATTTTGTTTATGACAGTCCAACACCTGGAAACCCATATCCCACGTTATTTGCTTATTTGCTTACAATAATTACAAAGAGCGTTAACAAAACAGAAGCTCAACATGCATCCATCACCAAACGTTCAGCGGCAGAGAAACCTAACGAGGTATGTATAACTAATTAATCAAAATGCCCCCCCCCCCCTTATATTTTTTTTTGTAAAGATAGGTTAGTTTGATCCAAGCCCTGTTATAAGAGTATTGTAGTTTAAATGCATTTGTTAATTTATTCACTATGACCTTGCACCCTGAACTTGTAGCCACCCATCAGTCAACCTATATATATTCACAACGTTTTCCTGTTCTGTGTATTGTATATACCTTGTGTTATTCTCTTCAGAGAAGTGGACAGGCGAAAGCCTGTCCACTTCTCTAAGGAGAATAACCTTGTGTTAGCGTGTTTACTCTTTATGTAGACCTTGGTGTTTCGCTGTCAGCTTACATTTAAGTAGGCAACACTTTAGTAAAATCCCTTGTTTAACTACATGGTCATCTCTGATAGGATAGTTCATGTATTAAAAATCCCCTATTGTACTACAGTATACTGTTTCAGTTTAGCTATCCTAAGCCTAATAAACACTGCTCTTTTTGATACATGAAAAAAGTATTTTTAACTCAGCTAACTGACTAGTAGAATTTCCTTTGTAGATATATAGACTATCAATCTGTAGCTATGAAAAAACATATATTTTTGTTTCATCCAGTTTCTTGAAAATTCTTACTTGATGGAGTCAAATGAAGAGGCAGTTGATGTTCAGTCCTACAATGATATAAGTTTAACACTGTGTATATAAATATATATCTATAAGGCTTGTGGAAAATATGTTTGTGTCTGCTTTCCGAACTGACACTATAATTCATAGTGCCAATTGTATTTTTCAATTGCTTTTTCAGTGAATACATGTACATATTTGAATTTTCAGATTTTACCCATGAATGAAAGTTGACTGTAAATTTCAGTCACAGAAATGTTTTAAGTACTATTTCTTTTTTCATGAATGTTTCTTACATGATAGTACACAGTACTAATGTATTTTTTCAGTGTATGGCCGGAACCTTCAGAGAATAGAAATCCGTCATAATTCAAGCAATCAATGGTTTGTATTCTACCGCTTAGTATGACCTTGCGAGAAACCGGAAGTTTACAGGGCTTAAATGTTTTAAAGGCGTGTACAAAATTTGGAGAAAAACGTTGTTCCGACAGTAACTCGGAAGTCTGCTATTAATATTTGTGTATTCTCTAATAAAACCTTGGGGTTTTTTTACCGTGCGCCGTTGGACCGTACCCTGTGCACATTCAATCATAATAAAATATTTATTTTTGTCTGTAGATTACCAAATAAAAAACCCAAATATTTTGTACTTGAATATGGAAAATCAACATTCACTGAAAATTACAGCTAAATGCGTTCATTACTTTTCGAAAAAAACTCTTTGTCCACAATTTTACCGGACAACCCTCGTATATTAATTTACACCAAATTTGGTTTAAATATGACGTGAAATTAAAAAAAAATTATAAAAATCTACGAACTTTTTGAATGACCCTCGTTGATATGTATTATTCCTTTTTTCAGTGAATTAAATTTACACAGAACTACAATTGGTCATTAGAGTGACGATCGATTGTTCCGAACTTTTCTCTCCACCAACAATAAAGCAGTATATGACATCAATGTATAATTCATCATCATCATTTTTGAAATAAGAATTAAAACAGAATAATCTATTGTTTTCCCTCCCTCGAGGGCATATAAAACTATTAAATGCTTGGTACAATTTTATATGCAAAGACGAAAAATAACGTAGCTACTAGAATCAATATTAATCGTGTCAAATATTTATTATAATGCAAAGAAATAGCTAAGAGCAATATAAGCGTTAAACAAAGCAGGAAATACTACAGCATCCGTCCTAAGCGTGTCCTTTTACGTGTTATTCATTTTTAATAAAACTAATAAACGGAGCAGATAAAAAAAATCAAGAGAGGGCTTAGCTAGAATAATTTGAACTCGCATTATTGCATGATGAAATTGAAATTTCATTTATTTTTCTCTCTTATTAAATCCAGTGTGTATGTGCTTCGTTTTTATTTGCTATTTCAAAGCTATTTATGTTCAATATTCTAAGATATAGTTTAAGGAGGTTGGGATAGAATTAGAAATACACGTTTCATAAGTTACGGCCCCCTTTGCAACTTTGAACCTCATTTAAAAGGCGAATGAATTTCTGTCATTCATGTGTTTCGATATATATGATAATTCGTCCTTCGTTATCGAAGATGACCAAAATAACATCTCGTCTGTTTCTATGGTTTGTTGTGAATGCGAAGATGGCTAATGAGTCCAATCTTCGCATGGACCGTCCTTCCACAAACTGGACAGGAAGGTCCAATAAATAATACTTAGTTTAAAGCAAGTTTTTCAAATATTAATTTTACAGATGATTTGTATATGTTATTGATTACAAATTATTTTATTGAACTAATACAAAACTAACGTCTCATTTCCCCTTGTGCACTTTCTAACACAACTACAAATAGATCAGGCGATAAAAATCTTTCCTTTATATTTGCTAGTATAATGCTACATTTTGTTAATTGTTAAGTTATTTGTATTTTTTCTCTCTGACACTTTACGCAATAAACCCAAAAAGAAAGACGTGCATATTTTCTATCATTCCCCTTTGGCTGAAGTTTATTAATTTGTAATTTATAAATATGTTTTACTGTGAATATTGATTAAATACTACGTATAAATAAAATGGAAAAATCTTTACACACTGCATTTGACAAAAGAAAATTTAAAGGTCTATGCTTTATTTTCAACAAGAGGATTAGAAACAAGTACGTTCATCTAACCTTTATAAACGTTGAAGGAATCATGAAAATCTTCAAATATCTTAAAACTGTTTTTATAATCCTTAATATTATTTTTTGCTGCCGTGGAGATTTAAAAGCTGGATATTCTTCTATACAATATGGCTACCGATTTCTCTATAGAATGATAGAATCTTACGTGAACTATAGTATACTGGACTGTGTTGAAGAGTGTCTGAGAACTAAAAGGTGTAGATCGGTCAATTATTATAAAGGCGCAAACTTTTGTGAAATAAACTTTAGTAGGAACATAACTCAACCAGAATTTTACAGACAAGCCCCGGGCTGGTTATACACTGACATCCAGTACTGGGACGAGGTAAATATCTTTGTATTCTCTTTTTAGAGAGAGAGAGAGAGAGAGAGAGAATAAAAATAATTTTTGATTGTATACTGTTTAACGTCCCTCTCAAGAATTTTTTGCTTATTTGGAGACGCCACCACTTGTTGGTGGACAGCTGCAAATTTTGTTATGTGCTCGGCACTCAGGGTCATTGAGCAGGGAGGGATTTCTTTTCGTTGCAGCACCTATTTCGACAGGGGACTTCGGTTAAAACGGTCTCATCCGAAAGACCCGTTTCCAAGTGACACAGTGGGATTCGAACCCGCGACGTAAAGTAGATGATAGAGAGAGAGAAGGGGGTTTTAATTTCAACACTGAAATATACACTTAATGATGTATTAACTTCGGGGATCCGAAACCAAGGGTGTATTTCTTATGTGATAGTCCATATTATATGATAATCATTAATTTAAATTTAAAGTGTACAAGTTTTAGCATTTAAACCGTTTATGTTCTTTGTTTTTGTGTAATTAGGCAGAGAACACATGATCGTGCTTTTTATCAACAACTTTTATATAACTGCTCCCATGCGCTTTCCCTTGTAGTTACCATTTGTTCTTTATCATAGAATGCAGACTCCTACATTTGCAAAATTTCACTTTTTTGTCCATCTGTTGAACAGAACTCTTCTCCATTTTTTTGTAAATAATTTTCAGGTTTAGGCCATAATAAAAATATTCCTAGATTCTCATCCCCGCCCGCCCCGATTTTATACCCCCGCCTCGATTTTTTTTTTATTTCTGGTTTTCTTCGTCTTAATTCTGATCGGGATCGGTATTCATCTACCATTCTACTTTCGTTTTAAATCCCGCGAAAGTCGAAATGATTTTGACAGCTGAAAAGATGGTAATTGCTGTAATACATGCGTATATATTTTAAACAAGGGTCATTGGTTGAAAAAGATTGGTGATGATGTGAAGTAAGAAATAATTGAACCTTTACCATGACTTTTATTCGGGTATTGTAGATAAAATTACGCAGCATTGCTAAGGCTTGAAAAAGGGGGCGGGGCCTAATTTATACGGTAAAAGTTTACTGTGACGTCACACAAAAATATGACTTTTATGTATTTCTCATAATACCTGAAAATGAAATAAATTGCAACTTGTAACTGTATTAGCATAATAAACATCAATAAAACTTATGAATGCATTAAAAACCAGAAGTCTCTGTCGAGACTGTAGCTCTACTGGTTTGTACTTATAGCAAAGGAAGAGAAAAGTACTTAAGCAGTTGGGAATTGAAACTTTACAACAGCAATAAATAGAATAATGATTCTTGATAAAGTCTCTTTATGTTCTTAGTGTAGTCTACTTGTGTACCAAGTTATATTGAAATCAGACCAAAACTGTTGGAGGAGTAGCATTTTGAAACCATTTTATTGAAATTTCTATTTTTAGTAACCACGACAACACCATTCCTGGAAATCAAATACCGATATACACAATTATGTATCTTGGTGTAGTCTACTCGTGTGCCAAGTTATATTGAAATCAAACCAAAACTGTAGGAGGAGTAGCATTTTGAAAGAATTTCACAGAAATTTCTATTTTTAGTAACCACGGCAACACCGTTTATCGAAATCAAAAACCGATATACAGAATTATGTAACTTAGTGTAGTCTACTCGTTTGCCAAGTTATATTGAAATCAGACCAAAACTGTAGGAGGAGTAGCTTTTTAAA